GTAGTAGGCCTACAACAATAATTTTTCGCTCATTTTGAAGCTACAATTTCGCTCTATCTGTACGTGAAATTTCGCAATTTTTGAATATTTAATACTAGTGCTAGCAGAACTGAGGGTAGCCATGCAACGACGTTGCAACGTCGTTTCAAGTTTGTTGAATATGGGCACTCAGCGTTTTGGCCGTTGGCAACGTTGGCGCGAAATTGGGGCTGTTGGGCGCAAATTGGGGCCGTTGGGGCCGTTGAACGGCCGTTGCACGACCATGCCACGACTGTCAGCAACGGCCAGTCTGGGCCGGATTTCGAAAAACTTTTCCCGATGTAGAAGCCCAGCACCCATCACCCCCAACTGGAATAGCGGCTATGCCTACACTCTCAGGCATCAAGACAATAGCCCGCAAGATGCTACAGCACACGCAATAAATATAGTAGTCTAACAAGAAGACTAAGCTCTTAAAATAGTATAAGAGCTAGGATCTTAACTATGCACTACGCAGTAGACTACCTAAACTAGACCTACTAAGAGCTACCCTAGCTAGACTGCTCTTAATCTAATCTATGCACAGTAACTTTGCCTAGTACTACTAAAAGTATAAACATAATAATGCAACACTTACCTGCTTATACAGGCGTAATAAGACGCTAGAGCACCTTGTACTCTGCTGCAAGACCTAAGGGTCCTTTAGCTAATAGCCACTCTAACTACCTATACCACCATCCAGCTATAGCAAAGGTGTAGCATATACTAGTGTGCTTATTAGGGATCTAGAGGCCTTTAAAGCCTTCACCTAACTTACTTAATACTACACTAAGGTCTGCCCCTAGTAGCTCACCCTGTGCTGCAACAGCAGCAAACAACTATACTCTTTCCTTACTCTCCTTCTTACTCTCCCTCTCTCTTCTACTCTTACAGCATTCTACTACCTTTAAACATACAAAAGGGATTCACCCTAATGTATCTACACTACTTAGTCTCCCTAACTAGTAGGGGAGCTGTAGCTTAAAATAGTAGCAATACCTACGCAGGCAAGAAATACTTTCTAAGGTAGTGTGTTAGCACTGTAATCCTATAGCTCAGCACGTCGTATATGCCCTTCAGGAGGCGAGATAGTGGACTTCATCCCTATTATCTAGACGTAAAATGAATACCAACCAACCAACCAACCAGCCTCTTCAACCCAACGTTATCCTCCAACGCTTCGCAAAGGATACCCCTGAGGCCTCTGATAGCAACAGCAGCTCTTCTTCAGTCTACTCTAGCAAGGACTGGCTCAAGATTAAGACTCTGTTACGCAAGGTGGCTAAGGATAAGAGCAGTAAGGAGTTAAAAAAGATTAGCTAATCTAGGCTGGCGGAATGGGTATACTCCAACGTCCTTCGTGGGTACCCCCCAAAACTTTGTCAATAATACATGGATTCTAGCGAAATAGGGTTGAAAAGAAAGAGAAAAACTACCTCTATATTTCTGTAGTAGAGGGTTTTGTTATAACTATTAAACTGTACAAGCTAGAGGCTAGAAAAGGTTAAAAAAGGGGGGGTACCTAG